CCCCCCTCCAGGTGCCGCCCCAAGCACCAGCTTGGTTGCCTGGTGCCTGGAGCCGGCCCTGCCCGGGGACTGGGCCAGCAGCTGGGGAGTAGGGCCAGCAGCCAGGACCCGAGCCCCAGGTGAGGTGAGGGGTTGGGGAGCGGAGTGCGGGCGGAGGGCCGGGCCAGGGCATAGGCACAGGAAGCACCCCCAGGTTTTTGCTCAGAGTCAGCGGCTGGGGAGCGGGGCGCAGGGCCAATGGCCCCGCATAAAATCTGGGGGTGCTGCAACACCCCCCACACCCATGTTCTGCAGAGTGGGGAATGACAAAAAACAGGGGATGGGTGTGTCTTTAAGTTACAATTTTAAGATAAGGTAGGTTAAAATGTCTTTCTATCAAGGTTTTTATACCATTCTTACCATTGTGGTAGCCAAGCACTTGTAAATATGGTCACAGTTCAGGGCAAATGCATCTGTATTCCCTCTCCGTGTTCACCAAGGGACCCGCTCTGGGCTCCCAGCCGTCACCTCTCTTGGGCAGAGACCCATGTCTCTCTCCCTCCTGACTGGCATTCATCCAGACTGCACAGTCCTTTGCCTACACTGTATTATTCCTAGCAAGCCTGACTGCCTAAACAGGCCTCAGTCTGTGCTTTGCTTTCTTGCTGAAAGCTATGACCAGTTTATTGCCAGCAGTTACAGGTTACCACACAGCTCTTTATAAGCAAAACACACTTATTCTTAAGCTGAAAGCATTACAGAAAAAACATATTAAAAACAATAAAGGAGTCTACACACATGCTAATAAGCTTTGCCCTCCGCCCTCCCCAGAGAGAGATCAGCCCCATTCCCCAACTCCAACAACGGCTCTGGTAAAAGTCAGTCCTTCAAACCCCACAAAGGGTTTTCCTGTGGTTACAAGTTCATAGTGGCCTTAGCTCAGAACTAGCCAAGCCAGGAATAGGTCAGTCCTTCCTTTATACAGCTTGGGTCTTTGCTCATGACATTCTGGGAAGAGTAATCAGGAAACAGGGTATAGCTTCAAAAGACTAGGTTACATACAATCCCAGCCCACAATAATAGATCAATCATTCATTTAATACAATGAACCCTAAGCTACTTAAACTTAATTCAGTGAGGTCTCCCAGGGCAATTTCCTGCCATATCCTTATCTGTCGCAAACATCATCATCAGGCTGTTTTTCATAGTGGCTCTGTAGGAATAAATACTAATATTTTACAGCAGGTATGAATGAAAACTCATCACTTACCAGGCCAAAGTCTGTGTGTAGATCAAGTCTAAAACATTTCGTGCAATATCAAATTCTGGCACTCCAAGTTTTTTGCAACATTTAGTTCCAATGATTCTGAAAATGACACAAAATCATGAACTATAGAACTGCAACAATCTTTAAAGGAAACTCCTGCATATAAGTAACAATGACTAACTATATGTGGATTTATATTAATGGTGTATTATGAAAAAGTGTGCACCGTTTGTCAGTTAGGCAGCAAATGGAAGAATAAGCACATATCTGTGTTTGGCAAAATACTGATGTTCATGAATATGCTGCATGGATGACAGAAGCCAAAGAATATTTTTCATTTGAGCCAAGAGTTATGCTATATAGGATGAAGCAGCTAAAATTTACATGTAAAAATACTTCTCTATCAGATAACGGGTACAAACTGAGCATTAATTTAAAATGTTGCCATCAAATCGGTAAGGATGTAATCTAGAAATCGCACTCACCTTCGTACAAATTCTCCAAAGAAAGAACCAAGCAAGCAAAATATGAAGTCAATCACAATGAGACGGTAGATATCTTGGCCAACTAGGCTTTCCCAGCACTTTTAAGAGAGAAAAATAAAGAGTGTATTTAATTCAAATCTCTCTGTCTGGTGTATGAACTTCTGGACCCTGATCCAAAGCTCATTGAAAGACAAACGGAAACATTTCAGAAGGCTGTGGCTCAGACCCTTGTTCACTCTAGTTTCCTTCCCCCTCAGACAGCCTCCCAAAACAACTCCAGTGAGGATAGATCTCAAAAATGTGCTCAGATCCAGTACAACGGAATTCATCATTATCTCTGTCTATACAGTGAGCTATAGCTAGTACTGACCTAAGCTGGATGAATAATGTCATACTCTGACATTTTCCCCCCACAACAGTTGTTTCTCCAAAGATTCCTGGATCCAGCTGAAGAATGTCAAGGTCACAATTCCTTCCCTTTCTTAAGAGGCCACATATAGCCCTCTGCACTGGGGCAAATTTCATCCCAACAGTCTGTAACCTTTCACACACCTTTTCCTCCACTGATCACATATTTCCTGATGTTTAGACAAAATATTATGAAAGTGGTTTAAGACTAATTCCTGACCATGTGTTTTATGGCAAAGATTTGTACACACGAGTGATTAGAACTTTACCTCTTTCTCTGATGTAGCCACATCGTTAAGCCAGTAGTAGCAGAGGATTCCAATTATTGATATTTTCAGACAAACATTCCTACAAAGAAGAAGTAACTATATTGATTCCTGTTAAACAAACATGGAGGGATGTGACATCAGTTGCACATCACTCCTTTCTAATGCATTTGATTCTGTGAAACACGTTGCAAGTGAGATGTGTGACATTCCATGTGGGAGAAAGGCAGCAGTATTTGCACATTGTCCTACACTAGGGATGTCAGCTTTAAAGTATAGTGCAGCTCCACTTGGCCAGCTTTAGAAGACACTCTTGGTGGAGCAGGGATGATGGTACTTTGTATTGCTGTAACCAACCGTCCCTCCATTTTCCATCTTTCCCACACTGGGGTCTGCACCACAGGCTGAGCAAAGCCCAGTGTATCAGGATATGCTTGAAAGAGAGGGAAACAATACACTTGCCTCCACTGATGCTGTGGCATGGTAGCGAGCTCCAAGTACATAACAGGCAGCATTAGAGGTGGAGTCACAAGTCCTTTGAATGGAGCGACTGCCCTGATGCATAGCAGGCTGCTGCTTTCAGTACTCTTTCATCGACAGAAAAAGTGCAGCAGCTTCAGGCAGCTCATGCGGCTAACTAGGAGAGGATGGCACTGGATACCTGATAATAGTGGCGTAGAGCTGATGTCTGGGATACTGGAATTTCTCTATGAGTCCAAACAAGGCGAAGCAGAAGGGGATGAGGAGGTTGAGGAGAGACACAACAATGGGCAGCACTAGCGTGGCAGCCTCGTTTTCCAGCTCACTTTTGTTACCTTCCAGGAGCTTAAAGGGAAAGAAAAATAAAGCATAAGAGAGCCTCCCCTCAGAATTGTCTTTGTGGAACAGTTTGTACACTGCGCTGCCTGCATTCTCTTGGAGAGTCACGGCTCTGCATTTAACCTATGCGGTCCTGCTTTCATATCCCCTGTCCTGCTAGGATGGACCTCTGTACCCACACAGGCAAGGGGAGGGCACTCGCAGATCCAAGTGCAGTACTGGGGCCTTAGAGTGCACCAGACAGCATTTTCTGTCTTTTCATTGTTTTTCTTTGTAGTACCTAGCAGAATAAGGCTACTGGAATCCAAACTAAGCAATTCTTCCTGCTGCCTTCTAGGCCTTGATTATTTAAACTAGTATTAAGTTATGGAAGGTTATATGAGCCTATTGGCAGAAGCAACACCTATGATGCCTTATTGTCTTTCAAGCCTTAATCATGAATAGTCATTAGCACTCAAGAGTCCAGCATACCAATGTTGAAGCCTGTGTTTCCAGGGTAGAAGTTTACCAAACCTTGTCCTTACCTGTAGTTCATTTCTTGAGAGGAAGTAAACACCAGCACAACAAGCAGCTGCTATTCCCAAGGAAGCCACCCAAACCACCAGATGAATAGCGATACGAGCAATTCTCTGCGTTAGAGAAAGGTTCAGTACCTCGAGGGTCACTTCAGATAAGGATTCCTGCAATCAAACACTTGCTAATTAAGCATAGGCCTTAGTCAATAGTATAACAACAACAACAATAATATCTAGCTCTTACCTAGTGCTATTGAGCAATAGATCTCAAAGTGATTTACAAAGGTTGTTAGTATCATTACCCACATTTTATAGATGGGGAAACTGAGGCATAGAGTGGGGCAGTGACATGTCCGTCTCCCAGCAGACCAGTGGCCAAGCCAGGAATAGAACTCAGGTTTGACACATGGCCAGAAAGGGTTAAGCAGCTCGCAGGCTAATTGATGCAGATTCAACCTTTAGAGACATGTTAGAAAAGTATGTAAATGTTAATTAGGGCCACTCCATCTTAGATAGGCTAGAACTTTGAAATGCAAACTTGTATTGTTACTAATACTAATTGTATGCATTTACTTATATCTTCTTAGATGTTAGCCATGTAAACAGACAGTTCCTGTCTATTACTATAGCTACTGATTCAGAGATCAAAAGGGAATATTAACATTTAGATGAATCTTCGGTGAAATAATCTCATTGTCTATATGTCTCTTTAAAGTTTGTGATAAACTGCTTAATGGATAAATTACTTTATGTTAATCCATGTAGTTAATTACCCATGATGTTTGGGAAGAAGAAGGTTACATCAAAAGCCTATTGTTCACCCAGGACTGTATGGTCAAGAGGCTGCTAGAAAACTGTATAAAAGACTCTTGGGATCTGATTCTTTCATTTCAGATCTGCCTGATGCTTTATGCAGGGGAAGCTTAAGTCATAAAACTGAGATCTCCAGTCCCACCTGGATCACCCGGAATATGAACATTGGACTATAACCTGTGGACTAAGTCTGAAAGAACTCTTTGCAACTATAAAGCTCACCATCTCTACTATAAAACTGAACTTAGAATTGTACTCATGTCTGTATGTAATACTGATCTTTTAACCAATACTCTCTCTCTTTTCTTTTTTTAATAAATTTCAGTTTAGTTAATAAGAATTGGCTATCAGCGTGTATTTGGGTAAAATCTGAAATATTCATTAACTTGGGAGGTAATGTGTCAAATCCTTTAGGATTGGTAGAACTTTCTTATATGATGAATAAGTTTTTCAGTAATCTTCAGCATATCTGATTTGGGTGTCTGGGTGGAAGCCCAAGGCTGGGTTGCTATAAGGGAACTGTGTTTTGGCTTCTGTGCAACCAGTGAGGTATTGTGGAAGCTGTTTTATGTTCGTTTGGTAACTCTAAGCATTGGGACATCCACTAGCTTTGGGGACTGTCTGCCACATTCTTTGCAGTTTGCCCTAATTGAGTAACGTCAGGGTGGCCCCCTAGTACCTCGGTCACACCAGGTCTCCTAAATCCCAGGCCAGTGCTCTCTCCACACCTGTCCTAAGTGACCATTCAAGGGATAGAATACAGGTGATCTCTTAGGGCTGGTCTCCACTACAGGAAGATTGATGCTGCTGCAATGGATACAGCAGGGATCGATTTAGTGGGTCGAGTGAAGACCCACTAGATCAACAGCAGAGCGCTCTCCAGTCGACTCCAGTACTCCAGCTCTCTGAGAAGAGTAAGGGAAGTCGACTGGAGAGCATCTCCCATCGACGCAGCACAGTGAAGACACTGGGGTAAGTTGATCTAAGCTACGTCGAATCCAGCTACATTATTCACATAGCTGGAGTAGCATAACTTAGGTCGACTTACCCCGGTAGTGAAGACAAGCCCTTAGTGCAGGCAGCTCAATTGTACCCACTATGTTTGGGGCAGTCTCTTGTACAAGTTTCATCATACTTCATAGTTAGGGCTACAGCTCCCAACGGTGCCTTTCTACCTAAGTGATCCAATACCAAGAAAACCAAACCCACAATGATAAAAAAGGCCAAAAATAAAGGAAAAAACATGAGCTAGGGGCAAGGCACCGTTCGTTCATGTGCACAGCCACATAGGATATGCCACAATGAGGGAGAGAAGCATGTTATATGGAAACAATCTCAGTTAAATCAGCAGTATGCTAGATAATGCCAGGCAAAGAGCAGTATGTTCCCCCCACCTTCTAGCTAAAAGCCACTGTTTGGCTGCAGGTCTGAAAAAAAATAAATAGAGCTGGGCAAATATTCATGCCACAGTTGTAGAGATTCAACTGCCAGGACAAAAAAGAAGGAGCTAGAAAAAAATTCCTTTAGAAATATGTTGTTAAGCCAATGGCTCCTAACAGAAAACCTTCACATAGTCAACTAGTGGGGCAGGAAGAAGTTGGATCTCTGAAGTATCCGATGGCACTTTCTTGAGCAAGTCATACATTCAAACCGAGAGTTAGATCTGCTCACACAGGGAGAGGATTTCTTTCCGATCCATTTCATTCTGTACCTTTATTTGTGTACTGAGATTGCTTTGCTTCAGTTTCACAGCTTTCTCATTGGTTATATTGAAGTCCCAGATGCAGAGAAGCTTGGCGGCACTTCCAGAGTAAGTCTGAAGATTGATGAAGTTCTTACAGAAGGACTTTGCCATGCTGCAGTAGAAGTTACACGCAGGAGATCAGTATTAGGGAAAGGCAGGGAGTCTTTGAGAGGAAAGACTCAAACAGGGTGGGGGGAAAAAATCAGTCTTGCAAACTACAGAAATCTACCTTCCTTGATTAGCGAATGTAGAGTTCAGTTACAGTCACTCCCCTTTCCCTTTATGCACATTTTACAGATGGGGAAACTGAGGTCAACAGGTCTCTTTACATACCTTGCTACTTCCTGCCTTCTTTTCCCCTATTCCATGTCAGCAATGGCTGCGTCTGAAGGGCCATTTCAATGCAGCAAATCACTCGTGGAAGTTATGGACAGCAGCATTCATAATGGGATTACACTCAACTGACTAAGCCAGAATTCTTCTGGGGGGTCACTGGTGTCTTTGCAGTGATTCTACACCCTGTCTGGTGGGTCTGGCAGCACTTTGGACACTATGTAGCCCTAAACTGGGGAAATTTGATGACAGCGTATTTAATTTCACCAGATTCTTTTATTACTATCAGGAACTAGAAACAGGAATTCGTCAACAGCAGCATGTCCAAATTAGTGGCCAAGGGTATTATTACTACTACTAGTAGACGCTCTTAAAATGTGAATAGCATTTTTGTCTTCATACAGATATATCCATTTTAAAGTGCAGGAGGAATATATAGTTATTGTACCTGTACACCAAGCTAAAGAAGCAGATGATGAAATAAATCCCAATAGTGAAAATATAGGCCAGCTGCATGTTATAGGAAGAATTGTTCTCAGTTTTCGTGATTGTAGAGTTGGTGTAAAAACCGTAGTAGAGCACTGTTTTTTTAAAATAACCCTAAAATGATATGGAAATTGGGTTAGCACTCAAAAGACATGCTGTTGATTGAATAAAGTGGAGTACTCAAGGGTCTGATCCTGCAAAACTTGATTGACAGGAATAGACCCATTCACCCCAATGAGATCACTCTTGCTAGTAAGGTTTTTGCAGGATTAGGCCCTCCTTCCCCCCCAACTACTGATCACAATTTTACAGGTGCCAAGTGCTTCTTGTGGCCAATGAAGCACCCCTCCTTTTCCTAGAGATCAACGTGAGGAGCTGCAGGTGCACAACACCTTGAAGGAGTGGACCTTAGTTAAAATTATTGCAACTGGCATTAGATCAAAGGTTATTTGGCCACCTTTCCGAGGACACACTCTGTAAATACTGTACTTTAATTCCTTTGTGCTATACTTTTACTTTGCATCCAGAAACTTAGGAACACAACAGTTTTACAACTGAAGACTGAGAACTGTTAACTGAAATGCACAAATGCAACATTGCAAGAGAATTCCAGCAGGAATGTTCATATTTACCCTTCTTAAAAAAACAACATGGCATCCTCACATTGAGAAGGTCTTAGCTACCAGTCTGGGTTATTATTTCACTAGATAGACACCCGCCCCCCCTCGTGTACAGTGGAAATGATGCAACCTTCTTGTAAAGGTCAGGTGTGGAAAAAACTAACCTCCCCAAAAAAGGAACAGCTCCTCCTCTCTGACCAAATAAACAACCAAACAGTAGCTTAGTGTCAGTAAAATTAGCACAGTATGGGACACTGGGATGTTTTCCTTTAGGTTTTTCTTCCCCCCAAAAATATTTAGGTATTTAGGCCCTGATGGTGTAGAGATCCCAGCACACATTTAAAGGTCCATTCGAGTAATGCCCCGCTGACTTCAACACGTCTCTATGCAAGGATTTGCCCAGCTCCTTGCAAAAATCAAGAATTCAGTGCTTATGAAATGTTCCAGGTTCACAGCATTGGAAACTGAAGTCCTTAACATATGTGCAGAGGCAGGATAGCATGGGAAGATTCACTGCTGATAGTGTCTTAGGATAATTCAGAAGGGGTTAAAGGATAATGCAGTCTTCATGCCTATTCAATCGCTCGCTGACAGGCTGTCAAAAAGGCACCAAGCAGTTTTTGAATAGGACACAAATGCTCTAGGAATTAGAGTGAGATCAATTAATATCATACAGGCTACTGGGCAGCTTATGAAACTATAAGGCAAATTAAAGATTTTACAGTGACCAGAAGAAAATAAGAGCACTATTAAAACTTCCACCATTCCACCGAGCTGTTACTAGAAAATACTTGTGGCTATTTTTTTACATTAGGATGATTTTATAAAATATCTCTCTTGTATACAATACTAGTTTGGGCCCGCCTCTACATACTTACAGCCCCGGTCAGAAGCTCCAGACCGTTGAACGAAAGGTTATTTGGTCCTGATGCTATAAGCTGTGGGATTGTTATGAAGCTGAAGTTTACAAGGAATGAGAAGATGTTGAAAGTCAGTAACCACTTCAGAAAAACAAAATAGGAAAGAACACTGGTTCCAAACTTGCCACGGATGACTTTCAGAGTCTTCTGCCATAGTTGCAATAAGTGCAAATATTCGGACAGGCCATTTTTAAATCGCCGATAGAACTAATATGAGAAGGAGATAGAAATATGATCATTAACAGGCAATCTGATACTGCACTTGTTACATAGTATTCAAATTAAAGTCACACAAGACAATCCCACATTTCTCATATTTGTATTTTTAAATTAGGAACATTTTCCCTCCTTCGCTTTCTTCTCATTTGTAGGATGCCTTTCCTTGACTTGAGCTCTTAAATGCTACCATAATCCAATTTAATAAATAAATAAATAAATAAATAAAATAAAAGTGCACTGGTTCTTTGGCCTATTGGCAAGTAAAGGGAACACAAGGGAATATGCTATGCAATGCTGGAGTGAGCAATGAGAGCTTAGTTTAAAAAAGTTTAACCCAACTTGTGTGAACAAGGCAGGGTGCACTTACCAATGCTGTTTTGTACAGACACTGTGTACAACAGTTAATCCGAGTACTGGAGCTCACAAATGTTTTTGTTTTCTCCATGAGAACTTTATTCCTGTGGAACACAGCATGGAGGAGGGTGATTAAAACAATGAAGAACTTCTCATTTAACATACCACATTGTGTTTAACAGACTCCTGCAAACACAAATGTTATGCACGTGCTCAGGAGCACAGCTGGGCAGGATATGGCCAGCATATACTTTTGAGAGTTTAAAAATTTTTACCATCCTAAATCTGGACAAAAGGTCAACATCACAAAAAATTTAGCTAGCTGAAAAAGCCCACCCCCCCCGCCAAATAATAAACAAATAATTTTCAGTTTGGGTCAATCGAAACATTTTATTTCAATTTCAAGATTTTTAATGCTTTCAGTCTAATTAGTTTCACATTTCAAAACAGAAAGTTGTTTCAAACCAGAGCAAAAAATCAGAATTTTTCATTAAAATTGTCAGAAAAAATAATTTTGACATTTTATAAACTTTTTTTTAAAAATTTCAGGTTGGAAAATTCATCTAGAAATCAACCTGGTTTTGAAAACAGTTTTAATTTTGACAAAGCAGCATTTTTCAGAAAAAAAGATAATCAAAAAATTCCCGGCCAGCTCTACTCAGTAGCAGCCAAAAAGTTACTAAAATGTGGACTTTAGGGAGAGCGCTTTGCTGTTTGTCTTTCTGTTAACTGGCAATCTGCCTCAAGACAGACAAGTCTGGTGCCAATCTAGCCTCCTTGCATCTAACACCTGCTTATTGTTGGTGATGGGCTTTGGATATCCTCTATAATGGCTCTGTGATAGTGACAAATCAGCCATTACTTTCAACCTCTTTTGCTTGGCCTCTTCTCCACTCTTATTGCTGGAAACTCTTAAACATCACAATCCACATTTCATATGACATTTCTTATATAAACAGAACAGGATATTGCTGTCAACGAGAGGAAACGTTGCTCCCATCCAATAAAAATGCACATCCTGCCATCCTTATTGAATGCTGATTTGCCTTGTAAGATGCTACTTTAAAACAGGTTATTATTTTCCAGTTGTTTTGTTCCATAATTGACCGAGAATCTAGCGAGGAAATATGCAGACACCTGCATTTGTTAAGTAAATGCCGGAAACAGTATGTGTGTTCACATTAGTACTAAGCTGTAATACACATTCTGCTTTTACCTGATGTCTCTCTTTTCTTTCATGGTCTTTGGTGTCTTCTGGATTGCTTTAACTCTCTCTCTGCTGGACATGCTTGCAAGATTTTTGATCAACTTTTCTTCTGTAGGTGGGATGTACAAAAAAAAATTATATCCATCCAGAACTTTAGATAACAACATCTTAACTTTCATACAAAGAATGAGAGGAGGAAGACTGGAAATAAGACATCCAATATGCTACCAAGACTCAGCTAAATGATAGGAAATTGAGAGCTAGTGATAGCTAGCAGTGGTATTGCACTAAATATTCTTAGTTTTCTGGAATGAATGTTTCTGTAATACAGATACATTGGGAGAATACAGTTTTTAATGCTTTCAAAAATTATTCATACCCAGTGATGGTTTACTGTTAGTACAATGGGCTGTAATACAAAATAAGCAAAAACATTGACTCAAGCTTTCCAAAAAGGTTCTTACTCGCTATTTTTTCTAGTGGGGTTTTGGTTTCTATATTTTCATAAAAAACAAACCTAGTGAACTGAAAATTAATTCTGTTTAAAAAAGATATTTAGTTAGTAGTAGTGTGTAAATTTAGTGCTAATGGAAACAAATTGTACTTTTGCTGAAAAGCTTTTTAGATATGGTGCTCGGATCTGTTATTTTGAAGCTTATGCGTTTTAATAATTGTCAGTTTGAGAGAGTCACTTGAATGTGAATCTAAAAATGTAAAATAGCATCAGCTAGGGCATAAAAGCCATGTCTACACTAGGAAAAATGGTGTAGTTTAAAAACATGTCAGGTAGCATGTTAATTAACACATTAAAATTCTAGTGTAGATTAAACAGTCATCATTTTAACCCATGTTAGCCAGGCACAATAAAACCTTGTGGGGAGCTTAAGGTTTACCGCAACCAGTTAACATGTGTTAGAACTACAACTTGCCTTATCTAGATAGGATTTTAGCACAATTAATGAACATGTTAGCTAACATGCCAAATATACATCTTCTTTCTTAGTGAAGACAAGGCCAAATATTGCAAAACACAACCATGTCAGGCTTTTACACCCAACTCTTGCTAATGTATTTAGCAAGCCCAACCCTCAACACCCCTACTGTTTCACAGCTGGGTTTCTCTAGCGTAGAGACTGCCATTTGTGGCAAGTTGTTTCAAGTTCTCTTGTGGTTCTATATTGGCTATCAAGGCCTTCCACATTTTTCTGGGATAAGAATATATTTAAATCCCCCACCATTTCTCTAAGTACCTTACCTTGTTTATATTTGTCTTTGTTATACGTTTCTGCATTTGAGTCTAGTCTGAGAAGGCTGGAAGGCATCCTGTAGACCAGGTCAGCTTGTCGTCTGTTATATCTCTGACTGAAGCTACCTGAACAAGACACACTTTTTAGTGAACTAAGAAATGTAATGCCAAATTTGCTTAGCCAGACCTGTTCATTACGCATTCACTTTCCACGTAGTCCAGCTAAGTAAAGAATACCCATCCTCCCACATTTGATGTGTAATTTTTCAGACTTGAAAACTGAACTTTAAGGGCCAGACTGGGATACATGCACGGTAAACCCTACTATACAAGAACTCACACTGACTTCAGTGAGATTATTGCTGGAATAACATACTATTCAGCATAAGAAAGGGTATCTGAATCTGGCCCTAAGAGATAGGCTCCCGTTTTCTTATCAGAGTTCAACACATCTTCTCACCCCTATCCCAATATTCAAAAACACTGACATTTCTATGTTCACTGGATGCTTATACCTTCCTCTGTTGAAGCTGAAGAGCGAGAAAAGTTTACAAACACCATTTTCTGGTCACTCGCAGCCACTTGGGAAGAAGATGCAGGCAGCTCAGAGCTGCATTCCCCTTCTGCATTTAGGTTTCCTGGGGTTAGAAGACCAGGAAAGTCTAAAGTGTCTGCTAACAAATGCTCCCTTTGTGGGTCTTCAGCAATTTCTCCCTTCAGATTTGAATAAACAATGGGGATAGTAGCATTTGTACTCAGAGCCAGTTTTCTTTGTATCCATTTAAAAGGATTAGAGAAAGGAAAATGTGTTTGTCTTTTTTCTGAGGTACTCCCTGGACTCTCAATGTCTGGATGTTTATCCTTCAATTGATTGCTCTGGATATCCATTTCCCAAGCATAAAAAGTCTTAAGGAGAAATTTATTAAGTTTCTCTCCCTCTCTCTATATTCTATAATGTGGAATTTTGAAACAGGTCATTTCCATGAAGCAATAGAATTGTTACTTTCCAGTAAGACTCCAATTTCCCCCCCAAATCAGATGTTAACCAGATCCATTTACATGTTCCTAAAAGGTTAAAGTTGGTTAAGGATAGCTAAGAGAGGTGTTTTTCCAGCGTATCTAGGCAACAACTCTAGAAGAGAATTCTTCATTATAGGAATTCTAGAAGCAGCAAACAGTTACCAAATATGTCACAGTGAAAAGGATTACAGGATGCTGAAACCTGATGGATCTACAATATAGTCTGTTATGCAGGGCACAGACAATAAATTGCCACTCATACCATCATTTTAAGACTGACTGTGTTCCAGTATCTAGTCAAAGATTCAACCCTACACTATTCCAGTCCCAAAGGACATGTCATTTGATTGCATGGGCGGTGGGTGAACGCGTCCGTGGGGGAGGCTCGCCCCTCCCCCTCTGCCCGAGGCCCACCCCTTTAGGTACTACTAAGGACTATCCTTCACACAAAAACATGATGGGCCAAATTCTCTGCTGGTGTAAATCCACTGACGTCAGTGGAAGCACCGTAGCAAAGAATTTGGCCCCACAACCCCCTGAATAACTTCACAAGTGATTTACAGGGGTACAGATGCTTATAGGGAATTCAGGTTCAAATAGGTGACTGCTTCATACCATACTCTTCATTTACAGCTGGGGGGGTGAGGCAAGGGAACAGTTTGCATGTCCCACACATACATTTTTGAGAGTTAAAAATTTCTTCTCAGATCGAATCGTGACGAAAAGTCAAAATCTCAAAAATATTCACAAACAAAAAAAAAAACAACCCAGGTCAATCAAAACTTTTTGTTTCAATTTCAGCCTCTCCCCATCCCCTTTGAAATTAAACTAAAAGGTTTTAAAAGTGAAAAGTCACTGAATTGGAAAGCCTGATGTTTTTGTTTTTAAAATGTCAAGACATTTGGACATTTTTCCCCCTACAACTTTTTTTTTCAAGTTGGGAGATTCCTCAAATCAAAACCTGTTTCATGAACAGTCTCAGTTTAGATAAACTGGCATTTTTTGAAAAAGAAATGATTCATCAAAAAATTCCCAACCACCTCTACTTTCATTGCCATGAGATGGGGTCCAATCAAAAGATTCCGGGAAGCTCTGGTACAATGAAGTAGTGTTGTCAAGAAATATTTTGTTATTTAATGGTGACTAGGATTCAGTGAGGACTCCTGGACAATCAGCCACCTGAACTAAATAAAGAACCTTCCACATTCATTAGTATGAAATATCTTATCAAGGGTTAAAGTCTGGTTAGTTTAAGCCTAAGAAAGCTGTCATCCTCCTTTGGAGATTAAAGTTTCAATGTTCTCATTGGCCATTCCATCTTTGCGCCTTAAGCCTTACCTCCATCAGACACATCAGAAGATCTGCGTACGTAAGGACCATCCACGGCATGAAAGGTGGAGGGAGATGTGTATGCTAATTCTGGCTCATACTCAAAGGAAGGATTAGCTGTTAGAGGGAAAAGCAGAAGCATTAAGCCACAAAGAAATGTTTAAAACTGTTCACAGAAGATTGGGTTTGTTGATATAGTAATAAACTCAGTGCTACTGTGCATAGCACAATAGATCCTTGAATTATTCTCGTCCCTCGTTCTAATACTGTACACCCATTTAAAATCAATCATTATATTGTATAGTATAGTTACACCATGCCGTAGACTACTGAAAGGCAAACTTAATGATGCTAGCTGCCTACATTTTCAAGAGTAGCTAGTGATTGTGGGTGTTTCAATTTTTGGAGGCTCAACATAAGACATCATAAAGGTACCTGATTTTCAGAAAGTGCTCCAAAAAAACAAAAACAAAAACAAAAAAACGGGCCTCATTAAAGCATCTCAAGTTAGGCACCCAGAAAAGAAAGCACCCAAAACCCACTAATCACTTTTTAAAATGTAGGTAACTAATGTTAACGTTCTGTTTTTCCCCCTCCCAAGCACAACATAACAAAAAATAAAACTCTGCAGTGACAGGATGGAACTAATCCTTGCTAAAACGTTCTTTTTTTAAAAAAACTAAGGGTTTTCCTCCCTCTCATTTTGCCCACAAAGATGTTACATTTTAGTTTCCTAAGAGGGACACTTCTATAAAACACGCTCTGGCCTGATCCTGTCTTGAATGTAGAGCTCCTTTAGAAATCAAGATGAGCAGGTATTTGGATCAACCTCAGGAATGGATCCCCAAAATACTGTCTGTTATACATAGGATTTTGCTATGTGGAATTACATACTATGTGGATTTCCATATGGATTTGTGTTGGGCCCAGTCGACCTCGATGCGCTGTGGCTGTATCGGAAGCCAGGCTGCATCGAGGCCATTGGTATAGCCATGGGATAATCCTGGTTTCTTTGTCCTCTTCCACTGCGACCTTCATAGGAATCGTACAACGAGTCATCATCCAGGGAGGACTCAGGAAGGTTTTGGTGAAAGGATGAATTCCTTTCTCTGCTGTGTGAGCAAACAAACAAAAAGAAGGGACTAACAGTGACCAGAAAGGTAAGATATATCTATTTACCTTTGTTTCTAGATGCTCAGTAGTCAAACAATTTTTTGATATAAATAAGTTATGTATCATCTTACTTTACCACATTTTAAAACATTTTCATAATATACAATCCTTAGAATCAAAGCTCTGACATAAGTGCCAATCATGAACTGAATTAAAGAGACGAAAACTTCAGTCCCACTGAAGTCAGTGGGAGGACCACTCAAAGTAAGTATATGCATAAGCATTTGTAAAATCAGGCTCCAAGCGTGCAGCAAACTTTTTGTCTGCACATCTGCTGAAAAATTGATTAAACCAATAAATCCCTGGTACCTGCAACTATAAATCCTGGAACATATTAATTTAAAGTGTAAAATAATAACAGAGCCACTATGACAAATGTAGAAATGTAAAAATACAGACAGAGTAGTTGAGGTATGATTGAACCAACTACTGTTGGTGCAAGGTACAAGTTTTGAGTGACACAGAGCTCTTCTTCAGATCTGTACCTTCCACCAACAGAAGTTGGTCCAGTAAAAGATATTGCCTCACCTAACTTGTCTCTCTCATATCCTGGGACCTTCATGGCTAAAACAACACTGCAAAAGACAGATTCCACAGACATTCTCAGACAAGAACTAAAGAGTGATTTAAATGAATGGCAAAAATAGGACTGGTAACAAGTTCCATCCCCCACACTCCCATGAGTTCTAAATATTCAATTTCCTTTATTACCAACAGTACTATCGTTCAGAACTTTTATAAATTATTACTCAAACTTACCTTCTGTCAATCTCCAATGTCTCTGAGTAGTGGTAGTCTGGGTTTTCAAAAGCTTCATTATAGTGATAAGTCATGATGAATCTGATTCCTTGATTGTGGGTGAGAAACCTTCTTTACCCGAAGTCTTTATTGCTTCAGTATTATATTAGTGGGTGATTCATTTTGAATCTAATAAAAGACAAAAATTAGATCCAATAGATTTTCTGCCTAGTAGCAAGGAACAAAAAGAATAGATGTCAGCATCTGAACAAGACAAAAAATGGCTTTATTCTTCCTGGAGTAATAATGAATAAAGCAATAAGATCTGTATAAATGGAGAACAGTCTCAAGTGAGTATAGCATCATCTGGGTCCTATTTACCCTCTGGACAACATGTATTTACTGGTAGTTACAAAGATAGCAAATTTCACGATGTAGAAATACAAGCCCTTATCTAAAATTAAAGCACTAGACTTGAGCATGAAGATTTTGTGTAAAAAGATTTCCCCAACATTTTGACAACATAGAAACCAGGTTTTTTTAAAGATATATAACAAACCAATGATCCCTGATCTACAGACTGATCCTGTTTCTCTTTAGATACATTTCACTGATTTCAAACCGGAGCCCAGCTCCTGCAATTGGCACATCTATAGAGATTTTCATCTGTAGATCTGAAGAGTCTTGTAGAGAGGTGGTTAAGTATAGCTGGTTATGTCTTCACTGCTTTAAAAAAGGTAGTTTTTTACATCGGGATAGCTACCTCACTGTACAATCCTAATGAAAGAAGACACTGTAGTTTTTGTTTCAATGTAGCTAATCGAGGTCAACCCTGAGGGGAGGGAGTATACTCATTGAATGCTAAAAACATAGGGTAAAGGCCCAGCAGATAGCACCCCACAAAAATATCCATGTTTATGTGAAAATAAATTAATACAAAGACAAGTGTACTATAATATATTAGATCATGTTTTAGTATTGTGTATTATATCATGATCTAGTCACACAGCTATATCCAGATTAATGCCTTCGAGTACCTGGCAATAAAAGCTATAAAAAGCAATTGAAATATATTCTGAAGTTGCCCATCCCACTTTGCAAACAATTACTGACTGGAATCTGATATTTGGCCACAAGAGACTATAAACATAAGCACTTAATGCTAAACTTTTCATGTTATTCTGGCAACAATCCCACATATACCAAGATAGACCAAAGATTGCAAGAGCCTTAAAGTAACATATTAAGCCAGTAATCAGCTGACCAAATTAATCAGTTATGCAAGTGTACATAATATATATAAAATCCAGAACCTAATCCTTCCTCTTTGCAGCAGACAAAATGGAGGTTTTGCTTGAGGAAGGATTGACTCCCAGTTATTAATATAATAGTAAGAATTTTTCTTTGACAACACTCGATAAATAAGTTTTTTTAAGAATCGGTGTGTGCTAGATAAAAAAAGTAGTCTACTAGTTTTTTAGTAATTAGCACATTCACCCCACACCCAACTTGAAAGCATAGGGTTTAAAAGAATTGCCAGGTTTACAGTATAGTCACAGCCTACTGAGGAGAGCTGGCTGGAAAACAGTATTTCCCTCGCATAAAAAACTTAAAATTTTTGAAAAAAAAAAAAAAAATTTCTTTTGTTTTCATTCAGGACAAAAAGTCAAAAATTAGTAATTTTTCACAGGAAGAATAATTTTTTTTTTAGAATTTGATTTGGGAGAACCAAATGAGCATTTTCCAACGAAAGACTGTTCTGTTGGAAAAATTCAGACCAACTCTACTTCTGAGATATACAATGCTCTTGGAAAGGCAACAGAAGATTCCTTCACAGCACGCCCACCTCCCCATGGGAAAAGGTTAGCCAGACACAAAAATCCACATACCGCCTCTTCTTCTTGCTCCCCCTAAAAAATAAAGCTCAGCCATGAGGACTTGCAGAGCAACCCTGAGAGACAAACTCATAAAAGGTAGGTCCCAGGCCCCACCGCTCTCCATTCCATTCTGTTTCGGTTCGACTAGTGCAACCACTACCAAGATCTCTCCATGAATTTCCAGGAGGAGCTGGTGTGGACTGGGGCCCAGGCCATTGCCTTTTCACCAAGGTTCATTGGAGAGGAAGTGTGGGGTTATTGTCAGGCCATGTGACTCCTTCCTTCTCTTTGACCTCTGGTGTGGTCCTCTCAGTCAGCAAGAGCTAAATATTTTTACACTCGTCTAACTTCGAAAATTCTTCTCTGATTGAATGAATCTTCACAGGAGAACAACTACTGTTTGGGAGAGGGGAGGGAAGGGGAAGGGGAAGGGGAAGGGAGTGGAGGGGAAGATTAAGGGGCATTACTGAGTCATTCAGGAAGTCTCAGCTTCACAGTGAGGAAGGCTGGTCCAGTGGTTAGGGCCCTAGCCTAGGACTTAAGAAACCTGAGTTCAAGTCCCTTCTCCACCAGACTCTGTATCTGATGGTCAGAAAGTCACTTGTATCTCAGTGCCTTAGTGTTTCATCAGTAAAATGGGGATAATAGCAATTCCCAACCTTGCAGACCTATTGCAAGGCTAAATACATTAAAGACTGGGGGATGCTCACATACTATGGTAATGGGGGCCATATAAGATGGATAGACAGCCATTAGGGAGTGGGCACTTTCCTTTTGATCAGTAAATAGCATCTGGGGTTACACAGTTCAGGAACCTCAGAGCCTTTTGTAGGCAACAGGCTCATTTTTTTCTGGGTCAAGATACAAAAGAATAGCCATATTTTCCTCCCTCCCTCTAAAACACATGTGGTAAGGCAGCTCCAGGACCTAGTTCTGCAAATATGGGGATTTCATTCTGTAAACACTAATCCTCCTCTAGAATGTTAATCACACAGGAAGGTGTAAGTAAACATGCACATCCAGTCTTATCAAGTTTCAAACAAATTAGTTAAAGCATGACCAAATGCTGCCATTGTACTCCTAGCAGTGTCAGTATACAAATAAAGTGTCTGATTGTAGTTATGCAAATCCTGAAGTTAAAAAAAGAAGCCAATCTAGAAGTTAACTTGAAGATCTTTTTTTTTTAAAGCCAACAATAGTAATATGAACTATAAGGAACTACTACAGTATATTTTACTTAATAACCAAGCACAAAAGCAATGTCAGTCATCCAAGAACCACTAATATTTGATATAGCAGATTAAACTACACTCTTTCCCACAAGTAGCCGTTAGTTTACATAAGGCCCGGCTGGTTCGTTCTTTATTGTCACCCTCTGAGTTTTTATATTATGGATTCCTTTCCTGTTTAATATACTCTACCCAGTTCCATATGGAAAGATCTCTCATGACTAGCACATTTTAATTAGTTTGTCAGTCTGAAATTGATATTAAAAGAGATTAATATTGTGACAGGGTATCAGGTTCTAGGATTCTACACTGCTCTTCTGCTGACTCACCAGATCAGGCAAGTCCTATTTGATCCAACGCAGTGGTATCTAATGAAGTGTCTCTCTCTGAAGCAAAATAACTAGTGACAAAACCAGTCAGACTCCATGAGATAAAACTCTAAGAGGAAGCCAGGCTCTGGCGAGCACTTAAGCTGAAGGTTATGCAAGATAACCATGAAAAAAGGCTGATTCACGGACCACAGATGTCTGTGGGAACTTTATCAATTACGTAAGTGGGTGCAGGACAAGGTCCATAGCAACAAATGCTGTGACTTGACTTTCTCTCAGGATCTAGTTTTATTTAAGCTGTCGGGTGTATCTGAGACCTTGACATCATTTTCACTGTTACACTGGACCCTTGTTTCAAGATAGAAGGAGCCTGCATTGTGTATGTTATCAAAGATCCAGTGACTTCACAACGAAGGACAGCTAGTTTTAGTGGCAATCAATTTGATTGTGATAAGTGAGAGATAAGTGTCATGAGAGGGAAAGTGAGTCCGGATTTCAGCACAGTTCAGCAGCCAAGCCTTATTCAGAAAAGCACTTAAATGGGGTTAACCTTAAGCATATGATTAAGTCCTACTGACTTCTACGGGACTAAAACAGGTTCTTTAGAATTATTTGTTGAATAGGGGTGGATATAAGCAACATACACAAATAATTGACTAAATTTCATGAAGACCACAATATTCTTCCCCTATTCCGCCCCCACACATGTAGATTCCCCATCCCAAAAAGTAAAGCCTCTACACATTTATAATTCTTACGGCTAAACTTACATTTTGAAGTCATTTTCAGTTGGCTAGAAACTAGAGATTCTTCTAGAAATAGATTTCTCTTTTTTAATCTGTCTCTTGCTCACTTGATGCTTTAATTTTTGACGTAACATGTTTCCAGATTGGCAGGAGCAAGTCAGTGCAGCCAGCTGACTGATATACAATGGCCACGTTTTTCTCTCCCACCCTGCCAATCTTCGTAGATCAAGCACAGTGCAAATGGCTATGTTTTCATAAGCACAGGAAGCAAGATTCAGACACTGTACCACTATTTCCACTTCTTGCCATGACTACCCAGACTTCACCTACCACACACTCGGTCTGAGAAGATAATCCTGGAGGTGGTGCAGCATAGAGTATATAACTCTCTCATGTCCTATCTCATGCACTAATGTTGTTTCCCTCATTGTTTTGGGACTGTTGAGTTAACCATCATTGTAATACTGAATTTGAAAATGTACAGTAGCAACAGAGCAGATGGTCCTTTCCTTGCCATTCCACAAGGATGTGTGCACATATGCACACATGCGTGTTTTTAAGGCACTGTCGTAACTCATACTTCAGCCACTCCAGATATGTGGACATTTTCCAAATTTGATTCAAATGGGGTTTGCAGAGTGGGGTGCTCTCTGGAAAGGACCCAATAGCCCAAAGGTGCTGCACCTTGCATCATCAGGCCTGAACTGGGGCAATTACAGAAGGCCAGTGGATCACAGCTCAACCACAACACAACCTCTCTGAGCAATCAGTTAGCAAGGGCTCCCACTGAGATGGCCTGATTCCTTGGTCACATGACATGAGACAGGCCCAGCTAATCAAATACATACCATATGATCTATTCCAACTCACCAGGCTAGAACCCAATGCAGCGTGATAGTAGCATGACATGACCCAATTTTGAGGTTCTTGCAGAAAGTCTTGAAGATTTTGCAAAGCACTGGAATGCATTTGCTTTTTCCTTTTCATGTCCAGAGCTAAGGTCTATTCCATACTCCATTTCTGACTGAGGATTGACGGTAAAATGGT